TCACGAGGAAACAGTATTTATTATATCGCGTCCCAATTCACGATTAAAATCTTGTATAATTGAATTTAAGTCAGTAAAAACCCGTTTAGAGCAGCAAAAGTTAACTATTCAAATCATTCGGGAAGTGGATTACATAGATATTAAGTTAAAAAAGGATACATAATTACAACTTGCTCAACTTAGAAGCTATGTTACGGACTTCCGTACATGAACGTATACGTTTGACATATATGGTAAGTATTCATATAAAAATATATGACATGACGGCTGATAGAGATGTATGGAAGAGCAGCACATACTGTGCCGACCCTCCATAAGGGATAAGGGCAAGTGGATGATGATTGACCATTGCCCTACCTATGTTAAAAGTGACATTTCATACATCTAGAGAAAGATGGAGATAGCAAATTGTTTTACTGGTGTAACATTGTAACATTTGAAATCTTAAATCTTACTAATATTATAAATGTGAAAGTAGCCTTCACTGCTGAACGGATCTCAATGAAATTTGGCAGACATGTAGAGGATAGTCTGGAAGAACACATAGGATACTCGGTTATGTTTTTCTTTAATACCACGCGAACGGAGTTGCGGGCGAAAGCTAGTTTATAATATTAGTATGAAGTATGATGTGAAAGTTTAGATGGATAGATGGATGTTTGTTAGAGTTTGTAGCCTAAACTGCTGAACGAATCTCAATGAAATTTGGTAGACATGTAGAGGATAGTCTGGAAGAACACATAGGGTACTCGGTTATGTTTTTCTTTAATACCACGCGGACGGAGTCGCGAGCGAAAGCTAGTTCACTATAATTTTTAACTTTCAAGAATACGGTTAATGTCAAATTTTGATAAGTACACTACAAACACTAAGTTCTGATAGTTTTAATTTAGTTGGTACTAAATAGTAAAAAAAAGCAGCGACGAAAAGAACACGGTGGTTCCGGTGCGTTCCACCGGTATCCCGGGACCCTCAAATCGCACCTGAGGTTCATCCAGGGGGTTTTTAGTCGATATTGTCCATATTGTCGCCCTTTAGAGGGTCGGAACAGTATGCTTTAACGTCGAAATCAGACGTACTGAATTTAATCACTTCTAACATTAACGTAAATGTTTCCTTCACAAACTTATGCAATAAACGATAATAATGTATCATAGTTTGCATGTAACATGTCGCGAGTGTGGACATTCGTAGGCGGATATAGGTCGACATTTAGTACGGACAGGAAGTAACCGGACCGGTTAGCCGTGAAAGGTTCTGAGGCTGTGCCGGGTAAAAAACATAGGCAATGTTATCTATAATAAAAAGCCGTTGAGTTGTAATAGACTTTATACATTTAACTTCTTACTAATATCATAAATCCGAAAGTTTAGATGGATGGATGTTTGTTACAAAGCATGTTTAGAACGGCTCTACAAATGCTCTACTCAACTTATTGGCGATGTGATTAGCCTCTTTGATACGTCTTTACTTTTTATAGTTTTTTTTTTATTTCAGTTTATTTTTTTTTCTTTTTGTAAATAATTTTTCAATCTTCAATAAATTCTTACAATCATTGCCAGGCTGTTTATATGTTATTTTCCCTTTTTTTAAATCACTTTTATAAATTTATCAATTTTCATTTTCAGTTTTTGATTTAATTTCCTTTAGCTTATATTCTCCGCGCGCTCCTTCTTCCTTCTACGCATCCTTTTAAGTTAAGCTTTTTATATCCCGCGATTGTTTTTATGGGCAATAGATAATCTTACTAATATTATAAATGCGAAAGTTTAGATGGATGGATGGATGGATGTTTGTTAGCGTTTGTAGCCTAAACGGCTTAACGGATCTTCATGAAATTTGGCACAGGTTTAGGGCATAGTCTGGAAGAACACATAGGCTACTTTTTATCCCGGGAATAGTTACGGTTCCCTTGGGATTCAATAATTTAGTTTTTTAATGTTTACTCGATCATTCTGCAACGGTTCAACATATCTTATTGAAAATTGGCATAGATATAAAACAAAGTCTGAAGTACACATGGGATAAGATTCATCCCCAAGAAATGTCCGGTTCCCGAGGGATACGTAGCTTTTTGTTATTTATATAGTTCTTATGTTTTCTAATATCACGTGGACGAAGTTGCGGGCAACAGCTCGTATTTTATAAAGAGATGAACTATTCAATACATTGAAAATAGATAATGTGATCAAATTTATAGAGTGCGCAGCATCTAAGAATATACAATTTTGTTATAATATTTTACCATTTGTATGTTCAATTTATTAAACGTAGTATATAGGAACCGTCAAAAATCTGTATCGGAAGCTAGTCGAAGTAATAGTTGAAGTATTGAAGAATATTTAAGCTTGATTTCCTAGTTTTATTTTATGGTAAGGCCCATGTGAACAGTCTAATATAGTAAGATTTGTAACTAATTACTTTCGTCTAACTTTTCTTAGACTCACGATCTGTTATTAACTATGATATAAAATTGTATTTATATAAACAATTAACAATTACATTAGTTATTAATTTCCCAATCTAACAATCGAACAAAGTTATCGTTGGTCAAACAAAGACAGCTAACGACGGTTTGAGAACGACAAGGTTTTTTGTGTGAACGGCCTCGGCTGGCAGTCTCAATTGATTTCAATATTGTTTAAAACTCTCAACTGTAATATTTAATATTAATATAATAACAACGGAAATGATAAATCTAACTTTATAGATGGGAACTAAACACTCACTGAAATCTGACCTAGAAGTAGAGCATAGTATGGAAGAAAACATAGGATACCCATTTTTATTTGTTTCCGTGCTGATACTCGCGGGCAAAGGATTACTTATAATTATAATTCACGCGAAAGTCATTCAAAAATTTGCTGTAAACGATCAATACGCAATATTTTCGTCTCCATTTTACACCCATACGTAAGTTGTATTAAATGTTCCACTATCAAAAATAAACGTATCGGATAAAATCTGTAGAAATGAATAAAATAAACAAAAGTGCATCAAAGTTGATAATGTATTAAACAGGTGGCACGGCAACAAGACAGCGAGGCCGACTGTGACGTCACCAGCGTGACATTTATGAATCTGTACGAGTTTGTGGTAATGTTTTCTATCATAACACAAGTTTATAAACAAAATCCGGAATCTAATCGAATTTACAAGAAGTTACTAACTGTTAAAGAAATTAATTAAAATATGTGACATTTAACAGTAAATGTAAAGGATAATTTAACAATAATTAAACAGATAAATCGTACATGAAAGAGTTATCTGAACAAACAAAACTAAAAACTTTGTTTCAGGAGCGCCTGAATTATTTATGCCGCAAAAGATAAAAAAAGATCAACTGTAACAAATGACAGGCGCAAGCAAATATAAAAGTGGGAAGATGTTACTGCAGGTATAGTTATCGTATAAACAGCGAATTCCAAAATGTTGTATATTAAAAAAAATGCTACTCCGTATTACAAAGTGTAAAAAAACACAATATAAATGAATACATCGTTATTTTCTCCCTTTATCTACCACGTAACAATGTATTCCGGAAATTCTGAGGAACTTTGTTATTTCCTTTACTTTCCGTAACAAATACGAAAATTTCCTCAACATCGATACTAATGTTTCAGATCAAAAGAGCTTTGATGTGAAAACAGTTTCAAATGTTGTATAAAATTTTACACACGCACGATATTAGGAATTTACTTATATTATACAAATTAATTTGACATTAAGTTTCTGATAATGTATATCATGGAATAGTTTATATTAGTTTGCAGATCAACCAAAAATTTCTATACTAGCAATGACCTTAGCGGTTTACAAAAAGGAATATTGCTAATGAAAAAAATCAGGCGCAAAACACTTTTATTGTCAGAGAGGGAATATTAAAGATTAGATAATATTGTATAAACTAAAATATATACGTTCGATGCAAGAAAACTTTTGCAATTACCCACACAGCTAGATTTATGCCGCCACTCAAACGCCACGAGAAGTTATTTATTCTCCTCAATAGACCTTCTTGAATATCTTCTAACTTTATGCAATCTTTTATGTTTCATATACGGTATTGAAATGACAATAAACGTTTATGTGGGTTTTTCTTTACCTAGTAAATAATATATGACCTTGTAACGCAGTTTATTTCTAAATGTTTAATTTCTTAACAAATCATAGAAATAGTATTAAATTTGTATGTGTTTTTGAAAATTTAGTCATAACTAAAACATATTTTTCATTTAAAATTTGCATCTAAATAAGTATTTTGATTGCTGAAAACGCGAGTTACATTGTATAGAAAACGAGACGCAACATTAGCAGGCTCATCAAAATGCAGTAAACGTTGGGGGGCGTGACTACGGGGGTGTAACGTGCTTTATTAACTTCACGTTCGTAATTTACAATGCCTCAAACTTTTTAAATTATCGCAAAGAAAAATAGAAAGAAAACTCATTCCGAAAATAAGGTTTTTACATTCATTGTGCGTAAGACACGCTAACAAAGTTGACTGTTAAGAAATCTTCCATTATAATCTTAAAAGTGTATTTACATATTTTGATAACTATTATAACTTCTGAAATTGAGCTACTTGTATCCTTAATTACTAGAAAATAAGTCATTTCTATTTGACCTAAGGCACATTTTGAACAAAATTGTTGAAATACTTTAATGTAACATTTCTCATAATGAACGTTCCATTTCGAGACACTTCGGACAGTAATGAGAAAGTAATATCTTAGTTAATGAAACCATAAAATGCTCTGATGTTTTATCATTTAAGTGCTTGGTTCGTTGTTAAATTGAGCATTTTAAACATCTAACGTCTTTTAGACTTAAAGTCCGCTACACACGCTTCGTTTATGGAACAGTTTTGTAAATTCTTCTAACTGAAATGTTCCCAGTTATGTTAGATTGGACGCTTTAACTGTTTGGATAAAACTGAGTGTGTATAGCGGGCTTTAGATTAACAAGAAAGTGAATATGTGAAATAAAAACAAAAAAAATTATGTTATTTATTTATTGAAGGAAGAAACTAACATTTTCACCTTATCGGAACATAAAATATTCTTCTAACTATGTCTTAAAGGTAGAAACTTCTATTTTGTTTTCGACTCGTGCTTCTTACGTGTGAAAGAGGCATTTTTATTTGTTTCCAGCAAAGTCAGGGCTAGATCCCTTGCCTCTAATGCATCATTTAAACCCTGACTCCACTGCGAATCTGAAAGCAACGTTAAAAGAGCTTTAGTAGAAGTAGTGAAAACGCTACGATTAGCTCACATCAGATCAAAATCAAAAAACATGAAGGTGAACAAGAAGCTAACAAATAAATGTAATCTTATGGAGTTTTAAGCATAGTAAATGAAATTAGAACATAACCATAACTTAAATGTGAAATTCTGCTAATAAAACGCAAAACAGTAAATGATTATAAAAATTATCCAGCTGTTTAGAAATATTTACAATAACGTGTTGAAATACTTACCAACAAAAAGGTTCTCAAGTACATCACATCGCGTCTTTTGCACTTCTAATATATTAGTCTCGTAATAAGCTTGGAGTTGATTCATGCGTTCAATAGCCGCCTCCAACTGCGCGTCGCGCGCCATTCTGGAAGCTTCTGCCATTTCTGGTGTTATTACAATACTGAAAAAGATAGACTGATCAGGAATAAATTTAGCTGAAAGAATTTACTTAGGTTGTTATACCTAAGTAAATTCTTGGATGCAAATATCTCCCAACTGTCCAATCTTCTCCTACAGAGATAAGGGAGCCGCTCGTTTGGTTATACATGGATATAATGGTTGAATTCTTATCTAGAAGTTTATTTACCATTCATCTTCAGTTTGTTCTCTCGTACATAAATCTATGAAATCTAGAGGCTTGAATTTGTCTTTCAACACATCTGGCATAGTCAAGTATTTAGTTCCATCTTCAACGTCTAACATCTTACTTGAAGACTTACGGTCATCCTTTTTAATTTCTATTCGTACAGCTGAAACTTTGTTAAAATCATTGTATTAAAAGTTTTCGATTCTTGATATGTCCCAATTGTCTTCTTTTTGGGTTTAGATCTACGAGATTTTTACAAATGAATGTAACAATACCAGGACTGCTAGAAGCTGGGGTGGGCAGTTGTCGACTTGACGGTGCATCTGGAAATAAAATAAAATACTTTGATTCTAGTTTTTCTTGGACAAGTAATTTTAAAAATCTTACCTTGACTTTCGTCGGTAAAAACAAAATCAGATATCTGGAAAAAGACCATTTAATTTCAATATCCCTACAAACTTCGAAATACATTTAAATTATAAAAAGAGCAACCTCATTAGATTTGCCATCAACAATTTCAGTAACAGGAGGAGTAGGCATATCCAAGTATTCATCTCGAAATTCTTTTCTACAACAAAAAAAAAACATTTACAACTTTACGTTGCTTTCCTGCAGTTCTATTTACAAGCCACGTTTGACCACAAAGAATGTTTTAGTTCAACTAACCTAATCTTTGCGCCTCTAGCGTTTCTACCAGAATCTTTGGCGTCCCAGGACCTCGCTGCAGCAATAAACTCCAGGTCCCTGGAGTCGTCGCGGCGCGCAGTCGACCCGGAGTCAACTGTCAGTGAACACTCCATCTCGATGTACGCGTCACCGGGCAATGGATCGTTCACTCTCGGACTGTCTAACTTATCTTTGAGACTTGATTGAAATGATGTCTACAATAACATTGATAAGTACTTTACACTTTTGCTATATCTTTAAGCATGTGTATTTGCTAATGTATGTTAATTCCTGCTGCCAGTCAGTATAGTCAAGTTGCTTAGTGGATATTGTGTAACTGCTGTATTCAGAGATTTAAATGGTTTGCCTCTAACTGCAGCAGTAATGGCGTCTTTTTTATATTATAAGGTGGGAAACTAACAAGCGGCCACTTGAAACCGCCTGAATGGCGTAGTGACCGCTGCCCTTAATCGACGGTGGAAGGAGACGCAAATAAAAAAGATATTTCCTCTTCCTATGCGTTCCTCCACCGTCAAATCCACTTGTAAAGTTATAAACTTTATAAAGTTGGAAATATTACGCATGTTCTAATAAGTACTTTACATTGAAATTAAATGTAGAGTGTGAAATTAGCATCAACAATTATTAAAATAATTCATTAAACCTTTTCTCTTAATGTTTTTCTGGGCATATCTTTGTACCCCGATTGACCCTGAATTTCGATGACCCTTCTCCATTGTGATATCGTGAGTGGCCATCCTTTTGGTGCTCGAACTCTGACAAAAAGAACTGCATCAAAACTAAAATCGGTACTAAAGAATTGCTTGTTGTAAAATATTAGTATAAATACTCAGGAATTTTAAAGACATTAGTTAAAAATAATTACATTAGAACCTTGATAAATTAAGGCCAAGGGAAACAAAAAAATATTTAAGTTATAGAGGTTTAAAGTTAACAAGGGTCTATGTTATATAGGTTTTGGGCTCTGATGAGAAGAGAACATATTATTTTTTTGAAGTTATTGAGTTTTTTTAAGTTACCGAGGTTTGAGTTATCGATCTACTGTATTATGTTTTATTTCAAACCAAGATAAGGGTTAACGTTAGCTTAACCTCGCAACGTAAGATAGTTTTCGGTATTTTAATTTATTTAATAAAATTTTAAAACCTTACTCTATCATGTAAGTCTTCATCTCTCGTACTAAACTGGTGTCTCGTATCTAAAAAAAAAATTAAAAAATTTCACTAAAATAATGTAATTCACAAAGACAATTACACCAATTACAAAATTAGCAACAAAGAATACATGTACGTAGTGCAAAAATAGTTTTTTGATATCAAATGTCATCATCTCCTCTATCTTATCCTCCTCCCTGAGGGTCAGTGCATGGGTTTTCTTCCTCCAAATAACTCTATCATCTGTCATCTCAGTCACTCTCTTATTGATCGTGTCATCATTCACGCAATCCTGCCTTATCTTTTTAGGTCTACCTCTACCGGTGTACACACTCATAACTAACGTCCTTCTTGTTACATGCGATTCATCCCTCCTCATAACATGTCTACACCACGCTAACATTTGATAATAAGTTTATATTCTTCTTTTATCTACCTTAAATGTAGATCTGTGTTTGGGTATAACGTTTGTGGGTTTACTACTTCTGACACTACGTGTTGTTCGCATGCTGGAATCACCGGGAGACTGAAAAAAAGTATATTATTGCTAACTATTTTGATAGATAATAACTGAAACAGCTATATGGAACTGAAAGAAATTCCTTCAAAACTGTCTTTTTGTCGTCTTCAACTAGTCCCATAGAACTCTATTTATGTCACATTCACCCGTTCTATTGTTAAATTTATAATAATGGAAGAAAATAAAGATATATATAATTATTAATTAATAATACGATGGATACGAAGCCGAGAAGAAGACAGTTAAAAATTTTATGAAGTTGTACATATGAGAAACATCAATTTTTAATACCATGGATTTGCATTTATAGAACAGTTAGTTATAAAAATACCTTTTTAATCAACAACAATTAATGATTTTACCGAACCAGCCAATAATATAGATTTAAGCGTTGGTTTCGCTTCTCCTTGCAATTTGATGTACGGCCAGTACAACTCCCCTCTGCCCGTGTACCTCGCCACTTCTTCTATAACGCCACTACGATTCCTCGATTTAAGTATAGCTACCATTTCCAGCTGTTAATTAAAAGTAATTTATAGCATTCGCCTGCGACTCTATTCGCGTGGAATAAAATAAATAAGTAGCCTACATGTTCTTACAAACTTTGCATCTATGCCAAATTTAATCGATATTCGTTCAGTCGTTTAGGTGGTAAACTCTAACATCCATCTATCTAAACTTTCGCATCTAAATCATTATTAAGATTAATTTAAGTTAAAAAATCGAGATTCAACTCATATTAAGTAAACAGAGCAATGAGGACTGTCATTTAGTTAATGAAAGTATGTCTAAAATAACTTACATCTGGTGTTGTAGATGAAGCTCTAAAACAAATCGTTTCTTGTTTATGTACAGAAATTTGTAGTCCACCTAAGATATTTCTTTCATTTGGTAGATATATTTCATCAACATGTACTTTATTAGCCGATGGAACAGATAGCTCCTTACAGCCATCGACATCGTTGTCACACATGTGAAAGTTGTCGGCGATGTTGGACATTACGTTCAATTGCCAATGGGCCTCGGAATGTACATTAAGCGGTTGTCTCAGAGATCCATGACCGATGATAGTATATCTATAAACACAAAGACACATTACTGCACAAATACACCCTTATTTCTATAGAAGCAAGGTTAAAACTTACCCATTATTATTTGGATCGAAATGATAAGTGAAATGAGTATTATACACTTGCGGTAACAGAGATGCTGTGTCATTATTATAAACTTCTATTATAGAATTAATCTTAACCATTCCGACAATACTTTGGAGATCAAGGTGGACTTTGACAGGGGCGTGGCAGAAGAACACGGCTTGGAAGTATGGGATCCAAACGCATTGAGGAGTTAAATGAGTAGAGCCAATGTGTTGCTTTAAACCACATGTCCCGGTTAATGCGGAGGACACAGAATACGCATGCTTTGTACCAGGAAACATAATAAAGAACTCATTCATCAATCCTGATAAAGCTTCCAGATTTCCAAATGCACTATCCATCAACTGAAAAGTGAAGATTAAAAGTTAAATTCCGAAATATTGTCCTTATCTCGTTGATTTTGTTATAAAATTAACTTACACATTTCATAATTTCAGGGGTGATAGTGTCGCGAGCATCGATAATTTTCCTCGTCCTAAATCCCCTCCAAAGCGCTTGTATCTTTTTCGCCGCTTCTTGTTGTCTTATTTTCATCTCTCTAATGGTTTTTAGATGGCCGCAGGATAAGTGGTCTTCAGCGATTTCGCAGATGGTTTGTTTATTCGATTCCGTGCCTGTATCTTCAGGTGTCTGAAATTGTTTTGAATAATAACTAACCAATGAAATACGTTTTCTTTTTGGGTCAAATCTCATAAGAGATTCAAACATGCGGCAGAAACACCAAGTTACCCACGGGACACGTTACGACACCCATGGATATCCGCAATACCAGAGAAATAACAGATGCATTGCCAGCAATTTTATGTTTGTATCAAAATATTTTGAGAATCAACAGCCAAAAATCATGCTTCCAACACCTATCCTTCCAACTATTTGATTTTTAAATATTATTTTATCTAACTATATCTTGAAATGAGTGATACTTACAATTTCGGTATAGTGAAATCTGTAAAGTTCTAATTCCTCAGATTCAGGCATCAAACAGTCACACGGATCATTGGCCAGCCATTTTGTCGTCGAAATATAAGACTTTATATTTTTGGATAATCCAAAATCAGGGTCTTTTAGATAGCGTTGCAGAAATGTACAAACTAAATGATATTCGTGTGGTGCCAATTTTTTCCTCAACGTTTCTTGTAACGCTTGACGGAACATCCAGTGAAGTAAACCCTTGTCGTAACCAACTTCCTGACGATTCCAATCCATGTCAGGTTGGTACGATCTACAAATTTATCACTAACTGAATTAACACTATTGTGATAGGGATTGGATTTAGATTATTTACGTTTTAGTGAATAAGCGTACCTGTAAAAGTCCTTATCGGATGTATTTACAACTGTAGCAGATTTACTTATCCGTACGAAATTCTGAAACGCCAAGCCGAGGCCGGTTAGGAACCTCGCTGCCCACGGACACTCGTGCATAGCGGCCACTTGGACAACATCCCTGGTGCCCACACATATTGTAGATTCGCTCAGTGTCATCACGTGCCATGGCACTCTCGAATGAATCCATAATCTGAATTATTACATTTATTTGAATATTTCAACATACTAAAATGTTCTTTGTGATTTATTAAACTTACCTACAAAAATGTCTCCCTTGCTCAAACGACACTTCCGTCGAATCATATCCTCGGGTCTGTAAAAATGCTTTTGGTTTGGGCAATTCACATTCATCGAACCATTTAAACTTTTCAATAAACACGTAACCAGGTTCTATGTAACAGTCTATTGGATGACCCGCATGAAGAAACACTCGAGGGTGAAGCATGCCGCAAGATATTTTAAGTACATTTTCTTCAGGTCCGTCTATTTGAAGGTAGAGTGGCGATGTTTTAGACGCAGGGATATCAAGCTGCTTGTTTGGAGGTGCCTTCGTGACGTGAATCGGAGGATTACTGGCTATGGAACTAAGTTGAAACATTGACGGATAACATAGGATACTTATGTTCTTCAAGACGTTCATTATCTGAAAGAAAAAGTCAATAATAATGTCATAGTACCATCCATTCTATAGTTTAATTAAAAGTGGTTTATTTTTCATTTAACCCAAATTACTCTTCCGACTCTCTTCCCGTGATTGGAGCCCTTCGTTATTTATTGAAATGTTTGCAAAATAATTTGTTACCGTATCAAATTTAACCCATTCCCGTAATTCCTCTTTGAGTTGCGGAGACATTGTCTGATTTGTAGCTGATCGGGTGCCTTCTTTACCACCCTTCTTGACCTACAAATAAACAATGAAATAAAATTAAGTTTCTCAAGTCGTATTCAAGTGAAAACCACGTGTGACATGTTGTTTTAACAAAATATATCGAACGAAGTATTCCTTACCGCAGGGTTAGTTTTACCTTGTTCTTCTCGGAAACCAAATGTTATCTGTACAATGTACAAAATCGTTAAAAGGAATTAAAAACATAATAAAAAAAACTAAACTGACAAAAATCGATTCTTGTAATGAAAAAATAAAGTTCACATTTTAGATAGGCATCTAATTTAACACGACAAATTAAAAGTAAAATTGATAGAACCTCGGAAGTAAATCATCATCATCCTTTTTATCCTATTCCCGTAGGGTCGGCGCAACAGGTTTTTGTCCTCCACATAACTCTATCTTACGTCATCTCAGTCGGAAAGTAAGTCAATCGGAAGTAAATATTAAACAAATTCAACCATTATTCTATTCAACCAATACTTACCGAATCAGTGCTCTGAACATCCAACAAGTGAGGAGCCTGCGATAGTTTTAGCAAGCCATTTAATTTAACAAATTTCGTTCTAGGACAATCATAAGCCTCGTACAGTCCGTGATTCCGAGCCCAATCTACCCATCGATATTGTTTCCATAGAGCAACCTCTGAAATTAAAACAAATTTAAGTACAACCTATAGTAGTCAAACCTTCTTTTAAGTTATCCTCACCTGGTTCAGGTAATGGTTTCTTTATCGGCAAATCTCTTGCCATAGTCACTAATAGACTCATCTCAAAAGCTGGTGTTATACCAGGTAGAAAATATGGAGGCAATTCTCTGGTGTCTTTAATAAAAAGTGATGTAATTGACCTATGCTGAAATAGTATTGTAAGATTTAAAAAATGTTTATTTACTCATATAAAGTTTTGTATTTCAAATGATCTTTAGACAATTGCGTTTGCCTGATAAATTTTCATTTAATTATTACCCTAAATACTGCAGTTTCCTTCACATTAGATTTCTTTGATTTAGGCCGAATGGCGCTTGCTAGAGTATCATCGTCGTCATCCCACGAGAATAGTGGCACTTCTGAAGTAATTAGTTTCCATAGTTGATCAGCATCTAAATAGAGTACAGCAATAACACTTTCATTACCAACAAAGACAGAAAGTCTAACATTTTGAAATATTACCAATATTGTCTTTTTATTAAATATACAAATTTCATGTTACCATCGTAAGTGTAGGTCAAATTCAATGCCCCAGTGAGAGCATGTAAAATATCGAATTCAGGAAGCACTTCATCTTCAGTGAAAGGAGTATCCACATCTTCCATGCTGGGAGCAGCCAGTTTTAACAGGGCCTGGTAATATTGTTTCCTCATAATAATTTTAGAGGCCAATCAAACACGCTAGATATTTAAGCGCAGTGACGTATTTGTGATCCAAGTTACTAAAAGAAAGCATAAGATTCATGTCATACCTTGCATAACAATAAGGGCCACAGTATAACAGTAGGGTTGGACATAAAGGGAGCTGGTGGCTTGGCCTGAGCTGACTGTTTCGCGTTTTGACTGAAGTAGGGTGCGAACGGCAGCAGCGGACAATCTGTCGCGTCTACTGGAATCTGGTCGCTCACCCACACGCAGCGCCATGCGCCTATGTAATACAGCCGTACGAGGTAGCAACCTGGAAATTTAACGGTATAATAAAAAATCACACAAGATTTAATGTTTTGTTTAGTTTTGTTAAAATTAAATTATATTTCAGGATAACATGACAAGTTAGAAAATAATATTTTCTTCTTCTTACCATTTTTTGATAAAGTAGGACGGTGTTGCTGTCCACCGCCATACTTCAAACCTGGAGAGTAAATGTGGTACCGTGCTCGCCAACCCTCTGGTGGTATGGTAAATACAAAGTTTTCCCATTGATGTTCCACCTGTAAAAACAAGCATGAGATTTACGCCAACAGCATAATTATTAAGAGTACTATGTTTACAAAATTGGATTCCGTGATCGTGGGTTCAAATTTTGTTATTTGACTGTTGTCGTATATAATATTCTACCACAAACCTAGATCTTAGTTCATATAGTAACAAGATACACTTACTGTAAAGTCTTCTGCTCTCTCCAGTATATAACAATAAGATAGTACTTTTCTGCAGAATGATGACATCTGCAGCACTGGGTAGTAAGCAAACTGGATATCTGATATGGACATTGTCCCACCGTTATTATCCTAAAAATCAAATATATAACCTTAGGAGAACTTCTACACCCTAACAACAAAGACGCCTGTAAAAATCATAGAGCAATTTATAAAATAATCAATGCTTACATCAAATATTGTAACCTCCGCTTCCCACAGAGTCTGTGCTAAGTCCTCGGCCCTCACCCAACCGTGCAAACGTTTCATCGCCGATCTTGGCAGCGGCTGGATCTGAGAATCGACCCATATATGCTCGGTGTGGGTCCTTGAAACCCCTTTAGCCAGTCTCAAAGTAGATTTATAATCCAGTGGACCCTAAAAACAACAAGCGGACCATCACGTTAATTAAAAATCATATAATTTTGTCGTTTAACAGAGTACAATGTACTAAAGTCCCTTTTAAAACGAGTACACTTGCATCTGCCCAAAAAGGGGTAGAACTGTGTATTACAAGAGGCGAAGAGGAAGGGGTGTGATTGTGAATAGATTATACATTTTTGAACATGCTTAACTAATTATATACGTGGCAACAATATATGACTTTTAAATCTTAGACGAGATTCTGAACATACCAATCCCCAGGAATCCACGGAAAGTTCATTATCTCGGAATTCTCTGAAAGGGCAATCAGTCGGACTGTAATGTATGTCCAGTATGCTTTTAATGCCATCTGCTTTTTTCATATTTTTCAATACACATCCAATTCCCTGCTTCAAGATAAACAGATTTTTTCAAGAAAATGTAGCTGTCAATACCTATTTCATGACACTTTTGAAGTATTCCATAAATTATTTAAATGCATTTTCATTACAGCTTTGAGGTTTAACGTAAATGAATACCATAAAATGTTATATTATTGGTACAAATGCTATTTTCATTTCATTTTATACCCTAACTTTTTCCCGATCCTTGAAAATTAATATTATGTACTTACATACATTTAAAAATGTCTATTTATTTTATTTTTTAAAGAAGTTGTATTAGTATAAAAATAAATGTATAGACCAAGAAAGATTTCTTGTTTCGGACTAACTTTTCCTACATTTTGGTATCAGCTTCAATATTATTGAGAGGATATTCTTCGATACTTTTCTTATATTCTCGCCTTTTCTATATTCAAAAATACAACCCCTTATTTGAAAACAAGCGGTAACATCTGCACTACTTGTAAAAGATTCTCTGTCGGAATTTAAAGTGTGAATAAGTTATACATGAAAGTTTGCCTTTATTTATCTTTTATTCATGTTCTTGCGAAAGGATTTTCAATATGTGAACATTTTACTTTGATATAAAAGCATTATTTGTAACACAATTCATATAATTGGCTAGTCTATACGATCCATATTCTTTGGTAAATCATAAAGCAATTATTGCAAAAGCTTGTATCGAGCAACTGCAGATGGCTTTGCGGTTGCAATTGAAAAGTGGACTTCGAACTACTAAAATTGCTTACAGGCTTTAGTTATTGACAGTTCTAATAATTTTAAAACATAAATGGAACTTGTTTTCTAGTTTTTGGAGACCCACATTATTTGTCTACTAAAGAATGAACCTTATACGAAATTACTCTAAAGTAGGAAAGTTTAAAAGCTATTGCTCTGAGAATTTGTCACCATCGTAACGTCAAGCTGGGTCGTTAGTTCTCTTTAATTTGACGGTGACATGATTCTCGAGAACAAAAGCTTTTAAAGAGTATTAAGATGAAGCTCGTGACGTTAGTTGGAATGGCAGGCGTTAAATTTAATTTTTCCACGTCTTGCCTATTCTAGCACTAACAGAGATTGTTGTGCTTATATGACGCGGACAATTTAGTATATTGTTCTTGAAAGTTACTTTAGAAATGTTCATCTTAAGTGAAAAGTTACGATACTTGTCTGCATTTTATAAAAATAAATTAATAACCGAATATATCTTAACTAACTGTTTATCACGACTTCGCCATCTTGAAATTTATGTAAATTTAGATACATTATCTTTGTAATGGTGAAAGAATTTTTAAAATCGAATCAGGAGTTGTTAAGTTATTTCAATACATACAAAAATGCCAATCTTTTCTCTTTATAATATTAGTATAGATACACATAGTCGTAGCACTTCGTAGACGTCATTTCTACAAACTGAAAGACATTGAATAAGTCTACATTAAAGAAGTAGAATTTTGAGTTGTAATTTAGACAGCTCAGTCAATACCCCTTTGAAATGGGCGTGTGCAGCGAAAGCTATCGAAGGAGACTCTCTGATGCAATAACTTTGATATTGCTTCCTCAAAGACATAGATTAAAAACATAATAGAATGGACACTGAAAGTAAAAAGTTTAAGATTATTTAAAATGTTTTATATACTTGGACTGAAAAGAACACAATAAAAGAAAGAGTAATGTATTTTTTGGAATTTCAAAAATTTTTGTTTATATAAAATAACATGTTAGTTTTACTAACCATGAAATATAACAGTTTTTTATGTTAGGGTCTTTCTAATTCAAGTTATGAATCATTAAATAACACATTAATTTTGTAAAAAAATCATTTCAAGTTCGTCTTCAAGTAAGTATTCTATGAAAATGTTCACGAATCACAAGTATTATTGGATTTTAAATTCGATCGTGTTCTGTTTTTAAGTAAAAAAAATCTTTTTACTTCTTCATTCATCCTACTTTGATTTTAAACATCAGTGTTTTTCGCATACGCTATATTAAATAGCGTGTATCATTAAAACTTTGCCTAATATATTCCACTAGGAGTTGTCAAAGTGGATTATTTATTTGGCCGCGTAAATCTCCATAAAGGCAATTTCCGACCGACGGTCATAAATCTAAGTAAACAAGTCTGCTAACAAGTTTTGGAAAATTTTGTTTTGTTTTTTAAATAGTGTCTAGTATAATGAAAATGGACAAACGTAACTGTTGGCTTTACTTCAAAATATTCATATTTAATACATGGGATAGATAATATAACAACGAGACAAAAATAAAAAAATACAATTCGTTTCAAACCAAAGTATGTATTTAATTTGGCAATCTAAAACAAACAGTTCACTTTGAATCAATAACTGCAAAAAATTAATAGCAAAACTTACGCAATGTATATTTGTCATTCGATTTTAAAATTGAAACAAAAATATACTTAGATATAAACAGAAACACTAAGAGGATTTCAAAAGATTTAGAAACAACCTCTTCACTAACAATAGATGTTTCTGAAACAACTTCTTTGGTAATATGAACTCTTCAATATTATTTGTGCGAAGGGAAACTCTGCTCTAATTGGTAATTATGTCATTACACAGGGTTCCTTCTAAATGCGGTAATTAATGAGTAAGCCGATTTAACTTTTAGAATTAAGTTCAAGGAACCGAAAATTTAAAAGCTATTGTAATACCAGACAAGGTTAATAAGTATTTATTTCAAATTCCAAGTCAATGAGTGCTTAGAATATTTGAACTTTGATAGAATTTGAAGAAAACAAAACATAAAATGATAATAATTCCTAGTGGTAGAACAATCTAGGACAATGCTGAGAGTACGAATTTAGTTATAATTTTAATTAAATAGTCTGTATGAGTTAAACTTTCAAAAACATGAGTTAAAAAACTAAACATTGTCTAAACGCGACATTATCACCTTTCTCTTGTCTCTATGGATGGTCGGCACAGTATACTGCAGTCAGCCGTAATATCTAAATTCACACTCTTCTTATTATAAGCGTATCTTACACACAATCCATCAATACTTTCTTTGACCTTCCTCTACCTTTGCTGCAAACACTTTGTGTGTCCTCCATTGTGTTAACGCTTAAGGACAGGAATACATGTTGCAGTAGCATGGCATACTTGATGTGTAAATGCTTACTGACATGTATATTATTTATTTTGCAACAGCTATGGACATGCAAGTTGCAACTTTTCTCGTACGGTCTTATGAACTATCAAGCTACAATTAGATTTTACTGGCATACGTACGCCAGTATACAAGCAACTTCTACATCTGGCATGTGTACTACAATATTGATTTCAAAAACTTATTTCGCTATCCTCAGTCAAAGTTATTGGTACCAAAGCGATATCAATAAATCAGTCGAGCTAAGTATGTGACAAGCCGGCAGATAACGTTCCCCGAGTTACGGTATTTCACTAACTTGTCCCTAACATTAATCTCTGCATCCCTGATACGCCACAAGATTTTCGTGAATGATTTACGAATCAAGATATTGTTATTGTAATTATAAATAAATGAAATAAATAGTTTACATTAAAGGCAAAACGGATTTGTTGTGTGCTTTATGTTTTATGAACTATTTTTTATTGATTGAATAGAATTTAATTGACCTTGTGTTTTGAATGTTTCGGTTAAATTAGTTACTGGCTTTTAGAATTAACAAAACAAAAGTGAGCAGCCTATATGTTCTTCCATTATATTCTATACCAAATAAGCTACAAATTTTAACAAACATCCACCCATCAATCTAAGCTGTCCATCTATAAAAAAGGAACTAAAACATTAGTTTAAAATATTCTAATTTGTATTCTTTACTTCTATCCACTCTTACTTGTTTAAAATTTTTTTAACTTTGTGGCAATGCAACGTTACCTTTGCGCCACAACAAAGAGTACAGGAAAAGTTCGAGAGTCCATAAATGGAATCGAATCGCATTATGAGTTTGTTATAGAGCGGCCAACGTTACGACACACGCCGCTCGAATTCGTTTAATAGGGTTGTCATTTAATTGTTTTTGTGTTAACTAAGTCACATCCATACTATTATAATAAAGCGTAAACACACACTTCTTTGTTGCCTAAGATGTCAGCAATTACATGATATTTTTGAATAATTCTTTTTTTATTAAAAAGTCCTACACTTGCGTCACGCTTTAGGCTATATATTTTAAAGCCATTAAACTTAGGGGGTAAATATTTTAGATAAAAATGCTAACATGGGAAAGAGACCATAAGTTGCTGCCAACATCAAGGAAGCAAGGTTGTCATCGTGTCGTGTCATTTTAACATTTATAATTGATAATTTGACAGATGTAAACAATAAAATAAAATTTTCATAATTTCATGCAGATGAAATCGCATGGAAACAGCTAGTACATAATAAAAAAATCAAACAAAAAAAATGGGACCCACCTGCAAGCATTACCTTTCGAATGAAAAAAGAATTATCAAAATCGGTCCTCTAGCGGCGGAGTTATGCCATAACATACACATAAAAAAAACGTATAGACGAATTGAGTACCTCCTTTTGGGAAGTCGGTCAATAACATTGATAAGTAGCAATAAAATAAAAGTTGATTTAATAAAATAGAAATAACACAATTAGGGATATGATTTCATACAAGAAAAATTAGTTGTGTTCTCTCTATAAACATGAAAAGCAAAACACAAATGTAGTTTAGGAACCTCAATGATTTACTTCTATAATTCACGAATTCAAAGAAATTTTGTGGTAAGTAACAAATTAAAAATTACTTTTAATTAATGTAACGATCGACAACCCTAATAACACAATTGGCCAGACAATGATTGTTCAACTGCCAACGACAAGGGTATGGTAGAACAGACACAACACGTCATATGAAACCTTGTTACATTCAACCGATATCGATTTACTACCACTTTGTGTAACAGAAACGTTTCCTCTGAAGTTTTTAATTGTTTGAAGTTTTACCTTGAGACAGTTTTACAACGCCTGTATTTTGAGACATCTGAATATTTAGGAATTAAGTTTAATATCTTTACTGTGACGTTTATCACTTGCGGGTTATTTCTAATTGACAAAACTACAAGAGCAATTAACACCGTAGTGTTTTACTAACTTAAGTTCTTTCATTTTAAAAACAATTTAAATGAACAGACATTTGTCTTGTACCATTAAAGTAGAGGAATCTTCTAGAAATGGATAAAAAAATGCACTGCTACTACTAAAAATTATAAATGCGAAAGTTTAGATGGATGTTCGTTAGTCTGTAGCCTATTTCTGGAGGAATCTCAGTGAAATTTAGCATGGATTTAAAGGATAGTATGGAGGAACACAGACTACTTACTACAGTTTTGTTTTCTTAATTCCACGCGGATGGACTAGTATTAATAAGAGCAGGAATACAACTAAACTATCGCACAACTGTATAGTCGCACTTTGATTCTTATGAGCTTATATGGAGCTGCGGACACTAATCGATTTTTAGTTAGGCAACTAAACAGTTGAGGGCTACGAAATAATCGACAATCGCAAGACAGTTGAGCGATAGTTTAATTAAAATGTTTGCGTGGACAAAGCTATCAACAGAACACAAATACAAGTTGTGTATAGTTTAGCACCTGTAGGTCATGCAATGCTACACGTGGCTGTATATAATTCTACATTCACCTTGCTATGTCCACCATCGTTTACAATGGACACTGTTTCCATTGCACTATATTTAAATTGACCTTAATTGCTATACCTGACAATTGAACGTGTTTTTTCTTTGACAGATGACTGTTAAATGGTAATAAATAATTTGTTTGAATTCCTTTATCGTAAGTACTTTACTACAAACAAGCTGTTCCCCTACGACTTCATCCGCGTAAAATTATGAAAATTTTACTATATTGTTAATAAAATTATCATTTGCAAATGTCAAAACGACATGACAGATGACAAAGTATGGCCACCTTGCTTCCTTGATGTTGGCAGCAACTTATGGTCTCTTTCCCACATTAGGGTTTTTATCCAAAATATTTACCCCCTAAGTTTAATGGCGAGAAAATATATAGCCTAAAGCGTGACGTAAATGTAGGGCTTTTTATTTACAAAAGGATTATTCAAAAATATGGTGTAATTGCTGACATCTTAGGCAACAAAGAAGTGTGTGTTACGATTTACTATAATAGTATAGATATATAAGTATAGAAGTATAGATATATTTATATAACATCAGTAGTTATTACAAGAATATATGTAATTCTGAAACAGCGACCATCTACCGATACATTTGTGTTTTTACAAATATAGGGGCCTGTAAAGCCGTTGCCATATTCCTATCGCTATGATTCTTCAACACGGAAATTGACAATTTGTAGTTCTCCAATCTAATGATCAAAATAGTTAAATAATTTTAGAATCGTGTGACGTATGAAAATGGAATCCTACCTTATAGGTAGCGGTCAATATGCACCACCGCCGGAGGCGCAAGTATAGAGACAGCTTTAGCGGTGTGTGAGCGTTGTCGCTCGTGTGCTCCTACCCTAGAGCGGTTCACAAGACAAGTGACGTAAGTGGAATTTTTGTCAACAAATAGTTACAATGTACTATACGAATAATTAATTATTAATTTTTATACAATTGTTTGCTAGTTAATTAACATTACTTCTAATGTGCGTATTCGATATTATAAAAATCCTCATATTCAAATCAATTGGTTTAATAGACGGCAGAAAACGTCAGACACACAACACTTATATTTGTGAGAACCAACAAAAAATAATTCGTTACCTAATTTAGTTAATTAAATGGATGTGTAGAAACAATTTGTGCTTATATTCACAATGTTTTATTTGGATAACTTGTTTCTTAACGTTTATTACAAAACATATAACAAACTAGGAAGCGTTGTACAAATTAGTGTGGTTCCCAATACAAATGTTTCAATAAAAAAAACTACATTGCTAATGCATCGAATTAACGCTTTCTAAATTCCAAATAGACCAGACGGATCTGAATAAGCAAATAAGTATTTAACAGTCGCATATACAAAAGTATTGTTAATTAATGGTTGCATGATACATGCTTACTCAATTGGAGCGTTCCTCTGCTTAGGTTTGTGTTACACTCGGTCCGACGGTCGACACTAGTGGTTGTTTAGCTGTGAATAGTGACGGTACGATTTTT